TTGTTGTTTTTGGCGGGTCCGGGCTGGGGATTCGAACCCGCCACCCTAGGTGTACGTGGCTGGCGCCTTAGCCGGTTGAGCCACAGGCGCAGAGCCCTAGATCTTAAATTTCAATGAGGTATACATGACAATCCACTCTGAAATCTGAGAAAATAATAAAAGTTAATATTCCCATATAGACAAAAGGGTTCTATCTTTTCTTTTCTCCTCCCTCCTTCTCTTCCCTTTCCTGTCTTCCTTCCTTCCCTTTTTAGACACAGCCTTACTCTGTTGCCTAGGCTAAAGCTACATGGTGTCAGCTTAGCTCATAGCAATCCAAACTCCTGGATTTAAGTGATCTTCCTGCCTCAGCTTTCCAAGAAGCTGGACTACAGGAATCCATCACAATGCTCAGCTTAATTTTCTATTTTTAGTGGAGATGGGGACTTGTTCTTGCTCAGGCTGGTCTTGAACTCCTGAGCTCAAGGGATCCTCCTGCCTCAGTTTCCCAGAATGCTAGGATTACGGGCATCAGCCACTGTACCCAGCCAGTTGGTTCTTTTTTAAATGATAATTATTAAACCCTATGTTGACAAAACAATTAAGAAACTGAAATGAAACAAAATATGCCACCGCTAGGACAAAATAGTTCATACAAAGAAATATTTCACTGAGAAGACAAAGTCCCATTTCACCACTGAGTTTAAGATTTAATATGTTTTTGTTTTAAAGATGTTGTTTATTGCCTTCCTTTTATCGAATATCACACAAATCAACAAAGAAAATAAAAAAGAGAAGTTCCATCTATGATAAAACTAGGAGTTATAAATAATAGCAAACAATTATATATGAAAACTGAAGGAGGACTGTAAGGATGACAACTTTACTCAGCAGAAGGGAGGACAGTTAAATACAAGGGCCTGCAGAAAGACTCTTAAAACAAATGAATCTCTATGAAACCAGAGATGACATAGCAGCTAAGGACACGGGGAGAATGAAAAGTAGGGGTGAGGTGGGAGCCAACATCGATGGGTGATCTGAAGGTCTGTAATAGTTAAAGCCTCTCAGATACCCACTGCACCCCTACTTTAAAGGGACAGATGATAAACCTCTAGTCTATCTCCATGGGCAGCTAAAGGATTATTCTCTAGAGAAACTGGGCAAGAGATTCAGATCTAGAGAACATTAGGAACAGAAGAGACTGGAATTTTAGGTGAAAATCTGCAGACTAAACTGAGAGGTTAAGTTTCCCTTCCATGTTCTGATCCATAACACCAATAGCTAGACTAGAGTTTAGCAGATCTATTTCTGGAGAAATCAAAATATTCCTGAAAAGCCTTATGGACACCAACAAGTGAGAGTCCCTAATACTACCTTATCACCTCAGCCTCACTGGACTTTTTTTTTTTTTTTAAT